TGGAAAAAAGCACAAGCGGAAGCAGTATAGTCTGCTCTTCATAAATGTGGGCGTTTTCTAGGTGGATGACATGATGTTGACGATGTTCGTGACATCCGAACATGGTATTCAACTACAAGATCTCGTCCGAAAATCGAAAGCCGCCGATTTGTTCATTGGAGTTTCGGTGCCACAGCTCTACTTTACCAAAAAAGTACTGTGGGCATCACGATAAAACGCTACGGGTCGAAAGCTTCGAAAGCTTTAATTTTCAGGTGGAATTCGACGAGGAGGAAGTCCGCGGTGAGAAGACAATTGGTCGATTCTTGATTGCTAGATCGCTTCGAGAATTTTCTGGAGTTGAGAGCTGTGACAGTGCAACGAAAAAAGGGATGATGGATTTCTGTTATTATCTCACTATCGGCCACATGGACGAGGCGTTCAAAGCAATTCGACACATCAAGAGGTATTACCAACAATTCCATCTGATATAACGCTACTCTGGCTCACATTTACCCAGTAATAGGCTGTAGTAAGCGTCCTCGTTGTTTAATTTCGGAATTTGTTTTGATAAAGATTATGAACAGCGCTTCAGTAAAAAGCATTGATTGCGGATTGTTTCTGAAAGGTTGTAGTCGCTTAGGAAACGAATGTTCGTGTAAAACATATTAGTAATCTGAAGCACTACCCTTGTTGAGCAAAAAGAGATCGATACCACTGTTCTTTATTAAACTGTTTCTTGAACCCGATCTAAAACTTCGATATATTCAAAGAGGCTTATTCAAACTTTTTCTGTGGTTTGTTATGTCAGTGACTCGCGTACGTTTTGGCGTACTCGCCAGTCTCGTTAGAGCCACACGCTAACTAGCAAATCTACCTATTAGGAATGAGAAACTCAGAATGTTGATAGTAGACAAAATGAATTGTTGTCTGTGCTTTTTACAGTGGATGGCACATGGCTGTTAGTCATTACATAGACAATAAATGGTCAGATAATATCACATGTTGTGTGATCACAATATTCTGTGTCTTTCCTGTTCTGCTGTCTAGAGTAACTAGTGGGACGTATGACTCTGACGAGGCAGGCGAAATCGCCGAAACGTACGTGAGCCACTGTCATAACAAACCTGAAGAGGCTTAAATCAGCCTCTCTGAATAGTTTTATATCATCTATTGTTCCCGTAGTTATCGTTATCGTCGTGATTCACCATTTCAGGAATTTCGCCATTTTCAAGACCGCTCTTTATAAAATGTGATACTCAAGTACTCTTAAACAGTAGTTATCGTTCCAGTGAGAAAGTATGGGAGCACATGGCGTCGATGAGCGTGAAAAGTCGTCGTTTGGACGTCGCGGCCGTCTGCCTTGGAAAGATGCGCAATGTCCGTGGAGCAAAGGCACTGCGCAAAGCGCAGGAGGCCGGCGAAAACGAGGCACTCCAGTGCGCTGCCCTAGCCGTGGAGCTTGGAATGCTGGTATGTAGTGGAAATTTTCATTTCTTATTCTCAAAACGGGATAATCACAGACGACAGTTCATTGCCTGATGCACACAATTTTTTCTTAATGATTCAATTACAAACTCATAAAAAAATAATGAGTCTTGTTACTACGAGAATCAAAAGATGCTGTGACTATGTTATGAATTTTTTTGATTCATCAAAAAGATGGCAGGTAGCTTGTACTCTTGATTAATGTCGATTAGGAAAATTACATAGATCATTCCCTTTTGGGAGAGAGAAGAAAGGGCACCGTGGTCGAGTGGCTGTGATGCTAGTCGCGACCCGCGTGGGGCCGAACACTCCGGTAGTCAGCAACGAACCAGCTATGAAATGCCACGACCACGCCATCCTCGGGTTTACAAGGAGAGACGCGCTCGATTAATACTCTACGACGTTCAAAGAAAAAAAAACGATTGAGTGCTAAAAGTATTTGGATTCGCAAAGCGAAAAACACTATGAAAACGGACAATAAAAGATTCAGAGAGGCAATTCCCCATTCATGCGCACAAGGATGGATGATAAAGCCTTGTATTTGACAATCCTTGACAGGCGCGTCGTGATTCCGACTTCATCGAGCATTATAGAATTGTCAGAACGCACTTCTGACCCGTACAATTACTGGTGGACTCTCACCGATGTATGAAATCTGTGCAGCTATCCGTTCAAGCAAATTTGGTGGCAATCCACCGATTTTGAAACATGAAATAATTAGTGAGTTTCGCAGACTGAAATAGGGAGCGTTTTGGTATGTACTGCATGTCATCCATGACACTGCGCTTCATACGACTCTATCCGACCTGTGTAATCGCAACATTACATATGCGTTGATTAAAGATGCCCTAAATGCATATGTTATCGTTTGTTTGGACCCTCACACCGCGCTAAACCGCCTATACTTCATGCTCGGTCATTGCACTTATAAAAACACGATCGGTAGGCTATGCAAATTGTTAATTAGACGAGCGATACATCCCAGAGGTCCATGTGGCGCAGTGATTAGAGGTGGACTGCGCCTGCAAGGTCGATGGTTCGACTTCGCGCTCATGGCCCACCAAGCCATCCATCCCTCCGGGTCGGTGAATTGGTACCAGAGTGGTCTCAGACTTATTTGGGAGGATAAGCAGCACTGGCTCATTTCAGCGGGAGGCCACCGTGAGTCGTTGTAAAGCCAGATAGATATCCAGTCACCTCAAGCAAAGTTAATAATCAAAGTCGAATGCACGGCGCGATCCCTCAGGGATTGATCAACGTCGTGAGCTTTATCCCTTTATGCGTCCATTTACGATCCTTGAAGAACTAGTACGGCCAAGGGATACTACTAAAGTCGAGCGCTTTACTTTATACCCTCGATTCACATGTAGGTTTCTTGCCTTCTCTTAGCCTTCGTTGTTATTGTGTGCAGTTTCCGTAAGTTCAGGATGAAGCCGAAGCAATATACATTAGTGAAGGACGATACGACATTGTAAACAAAATTCATCAGTCTCAAAATGCTTGGAATCAGGTATGAAATTCACTATGCAATTTTAGGTTCTCGTCTTCACTTTTCTCATTTTCAGGCGTTTGAAGTTGCTTCTCGATTTGATCGTATTCATCTCAGAAACACTCACTATAACTATGCAAAATATCTCGAAAGATCTGGTGCTCTCGAACCGGCCATAGAAAAGTCTGTGATTCTTTGCTTACGAAAATGTCATCGATCACAAGAGCATTTTACAGCTTCGAAAAATCTGGAACGCATCATTTCGAAGTTCCACGAATGTTTGCCGATAAACCGAAGGTACTCGAGAGTTACGTTAGGCGAAAAAGAGAACCGTGAGTATTGGCGAATCACTTCCACACTTTCTTTCCGCTATAGATGCTGTAACGTTCAGTGAACTTCACGCATGGTGGGCTCGTTATCTGGAGAGTATTGGTGAATTAGATGGTGCAATCGTGTTCTATACTGCTGCCAAGGATATAATGTCCCTTGTAAGGATCAAATGTTCTCAAGGATTGCTTGATGAGGTAAGGCAGTACCGTTTTATCACTGAATGATTTTAACGATGTTTTTTATGTGACGAAATTTTTACATTGACATGAAGACGCGTAAATGCTTGTTCCATCATCGCACTTTTAATTTCATATTATTTCATTCTTTCCGTTAACAACATTTAATTTTTTTATGAACTCTGCTGCAGGACAAATATGTTCCTTATATGAATTCTTTCGCATGCAAGTAGAATCATTTCTCACTCAAATCTTGGGAGATTTGCAGAGTAGAAGCGCTTTCGAAATCTAATTAATGGCAGTCCCCGGGCTGCAGCCAGACAAGTCTATTTGCTGACGACCACGAAGGGAATGAAGCAGTGATTAGATCGGGCCCTGTTGAACTGCATCAGACGACATCTCCAACCTCTAAACTTCCATTACGCTAACAGATCGATTTTTCATCGTCGCAAGGAAAATGGTACATAATTTGAATTCGTCACTCGTATTCCACCAATAATTTCCCATCAGATTCCAAACGAATAATATCGATAAAATTTATTGCACTCGTGCTTACTCTTCAAAAATTCAGTAATCTCTATTGCTTGGGAAAATGCGACAACACGAAGGTAAATCATAACTTTCGTAGAATGGTCGCATTTTCGACACTTTATATTTGAGAAGCTTAGATCGCTACTCTTTCGTGATAAGCAGATGCGAGGTTCTCAATGATAGTATCTAGTGACTACACTGATACAGCACTATATACAATGACCAACGTCTCGGCGGTTTCTCCTCCTTTAAACCCTCGAAAGCTCAAATGGAATCCCTGTCTTAGTCAATTACTTTCACATTCCCGATCGAAAGAAAAAATAGACAGGCTTTTAGATTGCATATTGAAAAGCTTTTCTCTAAAACCCTCATCGTTTGATTTCTCCAAGTCTTCCAACTACTCATTAGAGACAAGTGGCTCAGAGACTTGCATAAGGTACCTGGCTCAGGCCAAAAAAGTTTAGCCTGCATTGTATGGTGCGTGCTCAAGCATAATCACCAGGCCATCGTCCTTGCGGTTCTTTAGCATTTACCAAAAAACCTTTGAGAGCTTTTTGTGCAGATGTTTCAGATTCCACACGAGGATAGTGAATTATCCTTAAAAATCCTTTCCACAATGTTTTTGTTCCTTGCACGCGCTTAGGAGAGTATTTTATTTGGCTTTGAGTTCTTCAGCTAGGTGCTCCTTTACACGGATAGATAATGGTCTATGCGTTTCGTCAATGTATTTGCCCCGCACGCCACACAAGAGAGAGAGAGAGAGAGATAAAGTATACCGTATCAGATCTGGTCCAAAACATCTGCGCGGAGCACTGTTGGAGCTTTCTGGATAAAAACTAAGAATCCAAAAGTGAACCGCATGGAGTAGCGCCTCGTGGTTATGAGTGACCTCGCACCTCAGGCTAATTCTCCTGACCCGAGCCAGGCATATTTTTGCCTTATGCAAAACCCTAAGTGGCCTATCACCAGTGAATAATTGAAGGATTTTAGAGTGCTAAGACCAATGTGCCTCGGTGGTGTAGTGGTAGAGCACGCGTACCCGGATAGGATGAAACGCGGGCTCGATACCCGCCTAAGGCCGTGTTTTTGTTCGCCACTCATTCTCTTGAAAAAATTTAAAATAGGATATGAAAATTTATAAATATAAAATGTAAGTGTTTTCAAGAGAGTTTTAAACTTTGCCATCCAAAAGATTTTTTACTAGGTCTTTGTGTAAATGAAACTGAAGAACGGCAGCCATTCTATCTCTATTGTACTGTACAGTAGTATTCAGGAAATGCTATTACTGACAACTTGTCATCTTCTTATCAAGGAAAGGACTTGCTTATCTATGCAGAGGTTGACACATGGTCTCTCCTTAAGATCTTTCCTGGATTCAAGTGTGTACTGACAAAAATACATTACGATAAGCATGTGATAAACCAAAGACAATCAAACAGAATGGCTTTTAAAAAAGCTGGAAAAGGGCTGCATAGGATGATTGGATATTTAAACCCGTATAATTTATTATTACAGTGTCATTCGCTTGCGTAATTCTGTTCTTACGCACCCCATAAAGCAGAACGTCGTGTGGATTTTGCAAAATTCTCGGCGTTCGGAAATGATTTATACAAGATTTATCTGCTCAACATTACTGGTTCAGTATTTTTGAAGAAGGAATAACCTTGAATAACTAGCCACGTTTGCAAAAACATCTATGCTGGAAATTTTTTGATAATGAAAATGAGTGAGATTAAAAGGATAAAAGAGTAATGCTCTCGGCGTTGATCAATCCCTGAGGGATGCGCCATGCATTCGTTCTTGATTTCTAACTTCGTTTGAGGTGACTGGATGCAAATCTGGCCTTTACAATGACTCGCGGTGGCCTACCGCTTAACCGAGTCAGCGCTGCTTTCCTCCTACATAAGAATGGTACAAATTACTGACCACAGAGAAATAAAGTCTTGATGAGCCCCTTAGACGTGGACCGAACCATCGATGACGTGTGTGTCGCAGGGCACCCTAACTACCCAGCTACGCGCATCCAAAAGAAAGAAATGTATCATGAAAAAATTTCCACTCAGTGAGTAGTTTAGTCAGGATACATCGTGTGGTTCTGCTGACCAAAGAAGGTCGCTGTGATTGGACTATTTTTTCCTACCTGTCTTTTCCCGCTTTTAAGTTTTGCCTTTGTTATAGAATTCTGTTTAGAGTGATGAACGTATCATTTTTATAGAAAAATGGTATACAGGTGAATTTTGAAAAGTTTTTCAAAGGTGCAGATTACTGAAGATTACGCTGTTTCATTCTAATGTGGACCTATTGTATTTCAAGGCATCTTCCATAGCTCTTGACACAAACGATCGTGCCGCATGCTATCACTTGGCTCGAATTTACGAAGCCGATGGAAACTATTCTAAAGCCGTTGACTTCTATACGAAAGCTCATGCATATAATAGCGCAATTCGACTAGTCAAGGTGACAATTGTTGGTACAGTAGAGTATCGGATTTAGCTAAAACTTATATAGGCTAGAGTCTTCCAGGTAACCTAAATAATTTTGTAAGTCTTTTCAAATCTCCGTATTGCCTCGACGTTTTTAAAAATAATGCTATGCAGGAGCATGACATGCGAGATCTTCTTGCGAATCTCTGCCTCCTCGCTGGTGGAAGTGAAATCGTTGAGGCTGCAAGATATTTTGAAGATATCCCGGGATACGCACATCAGGCTGTGATGCTCTATCATAAGGTTGGCCATCGTACACAGTCACTTCAAGTACAAGTAGGCCAATTGGAAACATGAAGCAAAGATCTAATATGGAAGCACTGAAATCACCTAATATATCAAGCCGAACTCAGAATAGAGCAGACAAGATTGTGATCAGTTGCGTTGCGCTAAATTCACCAAACGCTCAAGTGTATGAGATTGAAGTAGGGTAGAAAAATTTGATTAGTAGCATTGGATGACCGAGATTTTATTAATCGAAGATGATCATTTTACTACTGGAAAACAAGACAGTTCTCATGAAGCTGAACCACGTAAACCGCACCGTGCGATTCCTTGGTGCACTTTTCTCTGACATCACAGAATAATCGGAGCATTCATGGACTTTGTTCTATAAGGATCAAATGAATTCTACTATTTGAGGCTGGAATGGTCGGTAGGGCACTTGACTTGGCTTTTCGTGCTGAACAGTTCAGCGCCCTCGACCTCGTAACCAAGGATCTTAATGCCGACTGCGATCCTACTGTGCTGAAAGTAAGACACTTTTTTAGAATTCTCTTTGCTAAGGTTCTCTATCTTTCACTGCAAAGAAATTGTGCAACAGGGAAATAAGTAGTGAGAAAATCAATACTGATTAAACATGCCAGATACTCATTTTTGAGCCACGAATGTCATGAGGTCTTTCAAATAGGATGACTTATAGACCTCGATACACGTGTTTTGACCTTGACGATTCGTCAGTCGGGCAGTGCTTTTTCAAAACGAGAGGCATCTCATTTAGTATCTCCACAGCTGTAATTTCAATATGCCTATTAAGCATTTTTGGTTAAAGACGAAAAGGGTTTCGCCCGACTGTCGAGACCGTCAAAGTCGAAACACATGTATCAGGCTCTATCAGTCGGCGCATTTAACAGACCACATGACGTGTGGCTCAAATGTGATTATCAGGCATATTGAATTTTCAGCTGTGATCTCAGGAAAACACTCGAAAAGTAAGGTGTATATACTAACCAAACAGTTCAAAAATTATCCTGAATAGGAGGCCTATCCTATTTAAACAACTTCTTATAAGTCATCACTACTGCTTTCTATTTTTCAATAGATATACAGATAAAAGTAGATCTTGATCTTCATATAATCCCACTTTTAGCGAGCCGCCGAGTTTTTTTCAATTAATCAGAATCATGAGAAAGCTGTTGAACTTTTATGCATGGCAAAAGAGGTACTTAATTATGCATTGAACCTTTGTTGTTCTTCATATTCACCTTCGCCTTTTTATTTTGAACATCACCTTTCTGTTGAAGTTCAACGATGCCATCGAGATGTGTCGCACGCGGAACGTACGACTGACAGACAAAGTGGCGGAGTTGATGACGCCTACTAAAGGTCTGCCATCGTTGTTTGAAACATTCAACTCAAACGAGATGAATCATTTGAATAAAAATACGTGTCATGGCGCGACCGCTAGCGGACTATTCACATCCACTAAACACATGCAATTTATGGTTTCGCTGATATCAGCAGATACTATCCTTAAAAATCGTCCAGCTCATCTCAGTGATAAAACTCCGGCGACAAAACTACAACATCTGATAATCAGCGCTCTTATCTTACCAACCATTCATATACTGCCGATAACCACAAAAATCTCTCGGCTTGTCTGTTCAATGTTGACTAACAATGTGATGATTAGTGACTGAGCTCAGGTGTTGTTGGAACTGTTTTGAAGTAGGTATAGTCTGTGGTTGTAATCCTCTCTCAAAACCAACTAGACTCTCCATTACTTTAATATCGTCAAACTGCCATGAGATTTGCCTAGGAGTAGAAAACCGTTGTTGTCATTCTATGTTAGCTCTCTGCAAGGCTTAGTATAGGCGAAATAATAGGTTGGTGCAAAAGTAGTGTCGGTCTAATACTGTATCTTCTCAAATCGTAATAACTGGGCTCAAAAACATCATTATCAATGTAAACAAAAATCACTTAAATCAACACTTTTTTGTCAATGAGAAAAAGATTTGTTTACTTCTGTAGCATAAAAATTGGTGCCTTGGGATTTGATGAACTTTTGGAAGGCTTTTTTTGCCCTATTGGTTATGGAAGCGCCTTCTCTGCAATAAGTTGACGAGGTGCTTGAAAAAGTGGTAGCTGGTGGGCGCGGGATCCGCCAAATATGGAGGTCGTTGAACTTTTGAAGCTTTAGTTCTGCGACGCATGGCTATCGGCAGGCTGTAAGAAGCCGCAGTAACTTTCGCATCAGAATTTTTCGCATTCTTGACTTGCTTCAAATGGCTATAATGGCAGAATGGTTGGCATCAATGGCACTTTTACAGTGTGAGACCAGAAGCACGTGTCTAGCATTGTATAAGTGCCTTAACAAACCTTATGATAGGCTCAAGATATGTTATAAGTTTATATGTTGTTTTGAGCGAGTTCTATCAAACCAACGAATGTGACGGAAAGAGGAAACAGTTTGCAGCAAATTTCTAATTCTGTTAGCTGTAAGCAAAAGACCGGTACCTATGTTTTGAAGAAAACTTTTCACTTCGGAAGTTGGTAGTTCAAAAATTTCCATAGAATACGCATTAAGGAATGTGAAGATGACAGAGGAATTAATCGAATTTAGAAACGACTCCTAATGAAGCGGAACGCAAGCGATTACTTGAGAATATAGCCGAACTTGGAGTGCAACAGGGTAATTATCACTTTGCCGCCAAGAAGTACACTCAAGCCGGCGACAAGCTGCAGGTATTTCTATTCATTTTTCCTAATTTCTATTCAATTCTCCTATTATGTAATATATCTAGAGAGGGTGATTTTCGGCGTTTTCGAGGTTTGTTATATCATTGACTTTTTCGTTTCGGCGGTCTCGCTCGCCTCGTCGAAGCTACACACCCACCAGACACCTTAGATAGTAAGGAAGAGAAGACACCCTATACTAAGACCTGACGACATAATATGTCGTCTGGACCGTTTCACAGTCGGTAGAACATAGTTGTTATTCATGATATAGACATCGTCCTTTATTAGCCCTTTATTTCTGAATGTCAATCGCCCATAATGTTCGATTTGATGTAATAAGATGCTACACTAGTAAAGTTGTCTAATTAATTTGGTCTAGTGTTGAAGCTAGATGAGAGTCTCGCGCCTTGAGAGTTTTCGAAAAAATTTCCCGCACAAAATAGATCATACTACCCTCCTGTACGTTAAGATCGAATGCGTTTCTTTTCTAGAATTGCCGCGATATCTCAGGAATAACAATTTCGGAGGATCTAAAGAAACCTACATTTTGCCTTCAAATTCCTTGTGAACTTTCTATGACTTCGGTTTGATGTTAATAATCAAATCGAAAAACAACACTAAATCAGCTAAGTTTGAAGA